GAATATGGGCACACTTGCCATTTCTTACATTTTATTACTGACTGTAAATGAGTTGCCTCAAGTTGAACATGATGGAACAATTGTATTGGCTATTTTGGTCTTTTGGAAAATTGTGATCGCATTCCACGTTTGAAGACGCTTATACTCATCAACAAGATAAGAAACAATGAGACAGTAACCAGCATTACTTCGTGACGCAAAACAAGTCTATAGATGCTCTTTTATGAGTGTGAGGAACCCCATCCTCAACACTTTCCCGAGCTTGCTCAACTACTTCCATTCGTCAGCGCTTGTTGGAGTGAATTCTCAATAAACCTAAGTTGGAAGATTTCGTTTGCGAAACACAATTGTGTATCTTTTGATCTGTAACTAAGTGCGAACCGGCTCCCGCACTGCCGAGACATAAGGATTCACTTGTTCTTTGTATCATTGCGCACCGGTCAGTTTAGTGATGTTCAGTGGTTCACAGGCGGCTTCCCGGTCACAGCTACTTCCAGGAGCTACTCCCAGGAGAACGACTTCTTGACTTAGAGTATGCTGATGATATTGCCCTAATCTGTGACAGCTCACAAACGTGCCAAGTGGCACTGGACAGATTAGCACTGGCTGTCAGCCACTTCAGGTTTTGCTTCGCACAATCGAAGTGCAAACTGTTCCTCTAAGATTAGTCTAGAGCGACTCCCACGCTGACCGTTGGTGGGGATCAGCTAGATGTCGTTCAGAAATGCAATTACTTGTGAAGTTGTATCAGCGCCCGTGGGATTGAAGATGAGATCACAAACGGTATAGCAAAATCTCGGGGCGCTTTTGCTAACTTTCGCCACTTATGGCGCCGGCGCGACATCACTCTAGCTCTGAATGGTAGAGTGTACAATGCAGCAGTACGTTCGACCCTACTGTACGGTTGTGAAACCTGGACGCTTAAAGCAGCGGACCTGAAGAGGCTAGTTACATTCGACCACCGGTGCCATCGTAATTTAGCTCATATCTGATGAGAACACCGCGTGCGCAACGAGCGCGTCCGACGCCTTGTTTATGGCACAGGAAAAGGAAATGAACCGCTCAGCACCGTCATTTTACGCACCAGGCTCCCATGGCACGGCCACGTTTTACGCATGCCAGCCCACCGACTCCCGCGACGTGCGTTGTTTGCGCGCCGGGGGTGTGGATGGAAGAAGAGGAGGGGTGGCCAAGCGATGACTTGGTCCAGAGGAATGAAGGCCCTCACTTCTGAGCTGGCTTCGGTTGGAGCGTCTCGGCCCCCTGGTTGGGGTCCGAAAGACGATGAACACGTTTGATTGGACACACCTGTTGATATGGCTAGGAGCCGACCTAAGTGGCGTTCGTGCTGTGAGTTTCTTTGTCCCACCCCATCCCTCTTAGCCTCCCCCTCCAAACACGATTTCATTATTTACCCTTATATAATTTTGCATAGTAAATTTTGTTTTGATGCATAGTAGCCGGAACGATGCCCATCTGTTACCGGTAGCTCAGCCGGCTTGCCTCAGTTGAATGCGTTTTTTTTTCCTTTTTTTCTGTGTATTGCGGCACAGTATCTGAGGTGTTCCCCACCTCTAGCTAACGTGTATGATGATGATGATTCCAGTCACACCACAGCCAACTGTTACCCGGTCATCCTATGCGCAACGAACATTTGTCCCCCTCGCAGTAGTTACCGCGGGCCAGCGCCTAGACGGCGGCTATTTGCTTCATTGTCATTGACCGAAGTACTCCGATTTGCTTTACCGACCATCGGCCGTGATATTGGCGCAGCTTACATCCTAGCCAGCAGGCGGTGCCCTCATACATTAACATTCTCACCCCGTCACCATGCGGGGAGAACGTCCGGCCACACCTGCCTTCATTTCTCACATCACCCACTCCCAGTTCCAACTGACGAAGTCCGGCCGAACAATGAGGCCACTATACGACTGCGCGCAATCAAGGTCGATGTCAACATCACGAACTTGAAAGGGTAACAAACGAATTCGCTTCGTAATCAAATGAATTTAGTTGAACTAATCTCGGTGATAGGTTAGAAGTAGGACAATGCTCTTCAAACGCACAATGGTGAAGATCTTAGTTAGTCCTACCAGGGGAATCTGCTCCGCCGAATTTGCGCCCATCACACAGCGCTACTCAGAAGTTCACTCAACGCGAACTGTTACCGTCGAATGGTTATCGAGAGGTAACGGCTTGTATAGCCGGTCACTGGCGTAGCAACTGCTTTTGCCGCCCTGGTCGGCCGTACACTTGCCGCCCCCTGGCAGTAGTTGAATCTGTACATTCACACATATGCCAACAGACCTTTCCTATTGTTTTTCATATAACAACAATCAAGGAGCTACTTTTACAGTGTTACTTTAATGCAGGTATTTGAATTGTCACAATACTCGTGTGCAAAAGTTCCCGACACACTTTTCGTGCACTACTTGAGGCAATACTATTGATAACACTAATAAAATTCACCCATTGGCAACTTCTCATTGCACCGGGAGAGCTACCTATCCGACAGCCTTATCTCGTTCATTGTTGATTGAAGGTAATTCGTCATAAGCTTACGTTTTGTGAATGCGCTCTCACGGCTGGCTGTGCTAATGGTTTGAATATGTGAGGTGCGAAGCAGAATCTCCAAGGTGATATTTTAATATGAAGCTCAAAAGTTTGGAAGATATACTACATTTTTCGTTGCTTGAGACTTTAACAAAATACTGGTCTTTTCTCGGCAATGAATTCATCTGTTCCGTACCTTCCTCAGCTTCGATAAGCGTTTTTACAGTGTTACTAAAACATGTTTGTTTGCAAAATCATGCTGTTGCTGAAACCTGTGGTATTTCATAAGTCAAACTATGACAGAAAGGATCACCTGCGTTAACTCCTCATCAAATCAACTGGATATTTCAAACAGTTCTTCACCGTTTATTCGTTTGTTTTAGTGGATTCGACGCTTCATGCTTGTCCTCAATCCAGCGTGGTGTCTTTTGAATTCGTCAATTGCAATGTCAACCATTTCTCCATCTTCTGAAGAAGGTAAACACTCAACATGGCAAGCTTGATAGAACTGCTGCAGATCCAGCTCTTTTGTTTAGACCCGTCTGAGTATCCTTGATTTTAATGGAAACAGATCTCCAAGGACTTAGAAACAAGGTAACCGGAAACGAAAATACCGAGGAGAGAATTGAAAATGCATCTGATCTTTTGGTCGCACTTTCTTATTCTGTGGAGTGTTTCAGAGAAATGATGAATTCCGAGTATTTCTTCACCACGAGGTTTACAACGCCTGCTATTCTACTCAAGCTATATTTACATCCACTTGATACTTAGACCTGTGAGTTGAATCGAGACCTTCTAGCAACGTTTAGATGAAAAAGAGAATATCCAGTTCATCGTACCAAAAGTGTAACAGAATGAAGAGTCGCAGAAGCTGCATGAACACAAGCCACATTAGGGAATTAGTTAGGGCATGGCACAAATGTAGCTCTCGGTTGACTTCGAAAATGCATCTCTGGACACCCAACATTTAGACCGCCATAATAGCATCATTGTCAAATGTCTCGCCATGGCAGTCAACAATCTGAATTCAATCATTCTCCGGGTCTCTCAATACCCACCACGCAATTTTCTTTGCTTTTTCGCTTTCGGTCTCAATGCGACTGAGAATTGACTCCACTGCTGTCATTTCATTTTCATGCATCCAAGTTGTATGGAATACATCGGGAGTGCTATAAGAAATCAGACTTGCTCTCTTTGACCTGATCCACGATTTCCGTTCCTATCTGCTTTACCAACTTGCTGGCTAATTCATTTTGAACCGGTGAGGACAAAGAAAAAGTGCTGGTTTTCCTTCCGGGCTGAACTTCCACTAAAGGTTCGCGAGGAACAGGTTCATAATTAACAAACAAACGCATAAATTCTGAAAACTCCGTCTATTTTCCTGGCCACCTTTGTCATTCTGGATGTCTTCTCCGTGACCACACAGTATCATATTTGGCTTGGCGAGAAACCTGACAACATTAAGTATTCTAGCTTGCATTTTACTCCACGTCTTTTCCACCAGTGCTGACTCCATTTTTTTCCATTTTCTTTCCTTCACCTAGCCGGATCGCTAACTCATTGCGGTTGAGGAATGACTGACCAAGCAATTTACTAGGTTCGTATTCACAGGCTTTTGGATTTAGTCTCTACCAGTATCTGAAACCCGTGTCCATCAAAAAATAAATCATCTTGTTGAAAACATCCTGCAGCCAAAATAAAACAGGGCCTCTTTTGAAGGAGAATACACCATCCGCGTTCACAGTCTTTGCTCAGTTTTGTAAATACGGAAAAATATCACTTCATTTTTAGATTCTTAGGTCCAGCTTTTGTATTTGTTCCAGGTGGAACCATTATTGAACTCATGACCTAGGTGTGGCAAAACAGTAGATCCGAGCCGGACTAACATGGCGAGCTTTTCATTGCAGATCTTAACAGGAAACCGACAGACATGCATAAAATCCGTTTGCGTGCGTGTTATCGTGCCAAAATGTGGTTTCATTTGTAATTCTTCAACTTCGCGCGCATCTTCTGCATTTGCATTGCAAATATTTCCCGCTGCCTCCACGCTGCAAATGTCGCATTCTGTTGCCCGTATATCAATGTCTGCAGGAACAATCGCGTCTTTAGTCAACATCATTATCACCTTCAATTTTACCACTTCAGTCATAGAGGAAATTTTGATGAATTTCCACTTGGTATTGAACAATCATCCTTACTAACAATGCCGCACACTGTCACATGCCGCCCGGGGTGGACCGTCTCCCTCCCCCTTATGTTACACCTCTGCAGCTGGTTGCCGCTAATGTGTTAAAGCGTTGATGAACAGCGCAAGCACTGAAAATCGTCGAATATTTATTCCTCCTGTTAAATAACTCGTTCACACTTAATATGTACATTCTAAAACTACCTTGCTAAATTAAAAAATGAGATGTTGTATCATAAATGGTTTGCATTTACTTTTGTACCTTTTTATCTCCTTGAGTTCCAGGAGCAGCGCTCGGTTGTCCATCTCCATAAGGTCAGTTTGCTGTCGGAGTTTGGATTCGGTTTGCTCTAGCAGTGAGTTTTGCTCTCTAAATTGCATTGCAAGAAAGAAATAAAACTAAATGTAATCAGCCGCATGAAAGTGCTACAATGAAAGCTGTGGTCCTGTACCAAGTTTGCCATCCAGAAAAGTGAGCCTAAACATCTAAAACGGCTGCAATCTATCCGGCACCTATTGATGAACTTCGACTCTGAGTAATATGGACAGGTAGAGCACTTTAACAGTGATTACTCTGGAAATAGACAACGCATCACAATCTGTCTCAGGCCACTCAACCGGAGCTGTTCGTTTAGTCGTATTCGAGCAATGCACTCATCTACCATAAGAACATTTCTGCTTGATCTTGACGTGCCTGCTTTGTCGTCATCTCAAGTATTCGCCAGTTAATTACTCATCTGACCAAACGTTCAGCGCCACTCCAATCTAAGGCTCATACAAGGCAAAATGCCTCCATGCTGTCTCTTTTTCTACTCCTACTTTTGTCATGGTAATGTTGCTGAGGGTTAGGATGAGTCCTGGTTACTCGCAGTGGCGTGGGGTACAGGGAACACCTCACCAGTCGGAAACTCAAAGTCGGAGTAACATCTTTGCATATATTTGTGTTAAAGCTAAGACAATTGCATTCTCCGTCCCTGTGACTGTGGTTCATCGTCTCTTCAAAGCGCTCCTCGCAGTTATGAGAACTGAACGGATATTCATGTGGAAATGACACACGGACTTGGCTTGCGATTCCGGCGGTACGATAAATAAAACACCCTTTTCTTTTGTTTGAATCGAAGGCGGCCATTCAAACATCCAGTTTTAGAAATGCTTTCAATGGCATTCGGCGGCTGCACCCATACTTTGGAATGTCACAGACTAGCACATTAGGTATAAGCCGTCAGATATGGTAAGTACAGCCATGGGACTGACTCATGGACGCTATGTTATAATAGATGTGCGCGTTTCGGTGCCAACCACCGTAGAATGTTTTAATCTCAACCCATTAATCTAAATTCGAAAAGTTAAATGAGCTTACACGTATAGACACACGATCTATGTTTTATTCACAAAAATGCAGTCTATCAGAACTACTCCACTGGCTGAATTTCGTATGCCGCTTAGTGACTAGCTTTCAGCACCCCAGACTATGATCTCATTTACCTCATTCGACTTATGGACGATAGAAGAGCGGATGCATCAGCGTAGTTTGGCTTATGCGGATTGCGGATGGTTGCCAGTGCTTCTGCCTGAAATCACTATTGTACCAGAATCAAGCACAAGGTTACTGGGTCCCATCTAATAAGCGAGTATTCAGTAAATGAATAATAAATTTGTACAATTGCCGACAAACGTTATACAACTCCTACGGGCAGCGATCAGTTGCACACTAAAGTGAGGTTTTAATTTCCGTTAATCAAAACATAATAATTAAGAATAGTTTCAGATCAGAAAATTTCTCCCAGATCAGCGATTGTATGGCTCACGGGGTATTCAGTCAGTAAGCATGTTGCCACTGCTGTTTTCAGGTTTAGTTCGGTGTGAAACTCAGCTGCAGTCGCTGGTACGGTGGGGGCGAATAGGTGACACAGGCACAAGTTTCATTTTATGCGAATTAATAAGGAAAGATAAGGTTAGTTGTAGGTATCTAGCAGTCCATTTGTTGTTTAAGTCAAATTTCTTTAACTCTGTGTGTACTGTGTGCTAACTGTCTTTAACACATTCGGTTTAATGAGGAAAGTCCATGGACATACTCGGAATGTGACAAGCTTTAATTCGTGTGTCTCTGTCATGGTAGTTTTTTTCACATATTCGCATATCTCACTTAAAAGCTTGCTTGAATTTTATGACTTGCAAGATGGGAGGGTAACAAGTACCCTCAATTACGGGTGGGACAGATAGCGATTTTTCGCAGTCCCTGGGTAATACAGTCGGTGAAAATCCTTTTTTAAGCTGTTAAAGTGAGGAAGCAGATTGCTGGAATCCAGTCAACTATATAAGGTTGGCATTAGCCAAATGGATCACTCTTGAAATCGCAAAAGTGAATCGATCAAATTTAACCAACCTATCTGCCATAAAAGATTTTTTATATTCCATACACTTTGGATCGGAAAGGTGCAGCGAAGTATTAATTGTTTGAGCACGCAAAGTTCTGTTGCGTTTTAGTTCACCTTAACGCTTCGTTTTCCTTCTTGTACTCCTCTAGCAGTTCGCGTGTGAGCAAAAGGGATTTCTCGTGTTCCTCCAGTTCATCATCCTCTCCGGATAATTGTTGTTCTGTCTTACAGCATACTTCCTGTTTCGGATCTAAGCAAATGGGGAGGATGGGAGAGACTTTATTCAAAGGATCCTTCGTTGTCGCTAAAGCTTCTTGTATCAAAATAAATATTACTTAATGACATATCATTTTTACACTTAGTACATTGCCAAATTAAGCGCTCCTTTTGTTAAAATCGAGCGGGAAAGTAAATTTGGCCAGAAATGCAAAAATGTACCAGCAGGTGATACTGAATTGTGGTCAGTTTCCAACACTGGACCAGTCGGTAGTACGTTTTGACACGTTGGAAAATTCTCGTTTTTTTTCTTCTAATACAACCTTGCTGGCTATGCGAAGTGATTGCTTTTATGGCTATTGGCCAGCGCATGACATTACACCTGGTACTGTGGCTGGCTCGGTGTGCACGGCCACAGTTTCCAGAGCAGAATTACAAGGCTATTAATGACAAGCGTTGCGGACCAACAGTTTCTTAGAAGTGGTCCAGGAATTTACACATCCATTTTGAACCAGAATGTCCGTCAATTTGCTGTTTCCCTGTGTCGTGAATCTCGTTTTGTGACATTATGTCCACTTAAACAATGGCCACCTAATTAACAAAACTACATGTCTATACTTGAAGAAAATGGATTGACCCAGAAAAGGCACGTGTTGTTTTCTAGCCAAATGTGTGCTTGTTTCAATATCGGACTATTAACAATGCTTATACCTAGCAGCGTTCGGCACCGACGATGGGGCGAATATACCATATAACCCACATCATCGCGACTAAATCCTAATGACTTTCCAACCAAATATTGAGTTTGACACGCATCACTTATAGCAAACAATCATCGTCCTAATTCTGCAGCTAATTCCTCATTGCCACTCCCAATCAACAGGCTTAGGCTAGACTGGAAAAGTACCAGACGCCGACGTTTCGACCTTCTGGGTCTCGTCAGTGGTGCGACTCCCGGTGGACTTCTGGCGGGTTTCGGCCTCATGATTTCTGCATGCCAGCAGCTAGTGCCACTTCCCCATAGGTGACAGCCGCGGACCTGCGCGATTGACAGTTGACTATGATATATTCCGGATCATCTTCCTCTGCCATGCCAGTTACGAACTGTGCAGAGGACAGTGGTGGGCCCCACCAGCTAAGAGTTTCCGCATAGTGCCCCGGAACGGCAGGGGGACTTGACAGCTATACTGACAGATTTTTATATATATTACTGATGATTGCCTAATACTGACAAACACTGTGCGTAAATAAATCGGTATGTGTAATGCCACCACATGAGATGTTAGCCGACGGTGGGTATGTAGAATAAATCCTCAGCGCCACATCAACTTGATCCTTAGGACTTCGGCGGGGACATTGGCGAAACTCGTCTCCGCGATCCATCACTTTCTCCACGTGACTAGAAATCTATGCTCCATCATAACCACGTGGTCGGCATTGCAGCTAAAGCATTTAGATATAAAATGCTGAGGTTTGAGCGGAGGGAGTGAACAAGCGTGTGTTAATCTATGGTACATTGCTTCTGACTGAACTGGTCCCCGCTATGATGTCAACCACACTGAATTTCGGAAGCCACTATCTGGCTGTGAGCATTGATATGAAGCGTTCTGTACTTTTCCTCTGGCGATGTTTATGATCCTCATCTTTTAATTTGTGCTATTGTCCGTTTTTGTAACAAGTCAGCTGCCTCAAAGTTGATGAACTGAACTACTTCCAGACCTCTAAACATATGCGTTTAAAGAGGAACGCTCATCAAATTACCATACGGGTGTCCCTTTCAAAAGAATTTAATCTCAAAGCCATTCATTTCTGTGGGAGCTGGTGCAAGGTTGTCAGTTTACCTAAACAACATTTTCATCTTTACAGGTTTTTTTGCACTAGCAATCCCTCTCAGGGAATTACCTAGCTTTGCTTCGCAATCCAAAGCTCTTATAGCTATGTTAATAGACGCTTCAAAATACATCCAGCGTACTTCTTCCCCATCGGAACTACATACTGATACCGAGCGGCCCATGTTATAAACCTTACAGGGAATTATCTACGACTGATTAATCGTTAGAACTTGTATCTCATTCGTCTAAGGCTATCAAACGTTTCTATCCAACATCATCCGCACTCTACTTTGGACATCCTGAAGAGTTCCGTTTAAGTATCCACACACACACACACACACACACACACCTTATATCTCGCCTTTGTTGCTAGTTACTTAGCTGCAAATCTAATGGGCAATGATATGGTTGCCCTGGACATATTGTCAGGCCACCAAAGAAATTCCGCAAGCAAACACCAGGTGTAGTAGGCTAAATTTTCATCATATGTTCAATCACACTCACCAACGCAAACATCTTACCTGACGCTAAGTGTGTTCCTCTCAAGTAATCTCGCAGACTTTGGTTCTCCATCCGCATCAAGCTAAGCTGTTGCTTCATTTCCAGAATTGTCTGGTGAGTGAACAACAATAAGACTTTGAAGGATGAGGTTGTGTTTAAGTCAAGGGAATGCAGATATGAAAATCAGCTTGGTAAATACCTTAACAAACACACACATGAGTGAAAAACACAAGTGTTAATTTTGTCACAGTGCCTTTGAAGATTGTTGGTAAGCACGGTCAGAGCACAAAATGTACGATACAAATAATGCAGTATAGCGAATTTTAGTTGAATACTTTTTGTGACCAAAAAAGCAAAGTCTACACAAAAGGGCATGGGTTCATGCGGAGTGTTTCAGTTTTAACCCGTTGAAGCGAAAAGCAACAGCTTGCGACATGCTCACC